GAAGAAGGTGAGCACACTGAGGCTGGGCACAGGAAGGAGGTCAATGAAGTGAAGGTGGTGACCTTTCTCCTGGCTGGCCATGTGAACAGGCCCATTAGTTCTCCCTCCACACCAGGTTTGTTATCTGGGCCCAGAACTTCCACCAACTTCCTGCACTCCAGCTTCCAGCTCCCCATTTCACTAGCCTGATGCCCAAGGTTCTATCTCATAGAGAAATGGCCCAAGCTTTCTCCTGGCCTCAGAGGAGGCCTTCATCAGATAGCATCCAGAAGGTACTGGCCAGGGGACAGTATGGCAAGTTTTCAGCAGGGAAAGGGGATGGGGCAGGCATTCTGGGGGGCCTTAAAGGGACATGACACCTGCACTATGAGTCTTGTTATGATGTCACTTTGCTTAGAATTAAATCAGTCCACCCCACCCTCAGCAAACTGGGTAGGTGATCAGTGAGATACAGGTCCAGATTCCTTCAAGGTCACTGGGCCTCTCCTCTGGGTGTCTTCCACCCCCGCCACCTCTGAGCTGGCACCAGGCCTGACTGCTCGCCTGGGACCTGCCAGAGCACATTGAGCAACCAGTTCCTGAGAAGCGTGGAAAGCTGTTTGGTTTAAAATTAACTCCCCCACTCACCCTCCCGCCTGCCCTCCTTAGAGTTCTTGGAAGAGGCACTCTGCTCTTCCTGGGAAAAGGCCTCCAGCCACAGCTGCTATGATTCTGGTGAAAACACCTCACCCAGGGTGGGGGTGGGGCTGCCCATGCCAGGCCTCCACCAGGCACCCTCAGGTAACCTGCTGAGACCCAGAGGAGAAAGTGGGGATTGTCAAGTTTTTGGGAGGGGTGCTAGTGCCTCCAAAGCCCACATCTCTCAATCAGATATTAGCTGGCTCCAAGTGAAAAGGTTCAGAGCTTCAGCAACCCAGCCTGGGCACCTCTGAGGTAGAACAGAAAGCGAATGGATTCCAGACAGCAAACCCAGAATCCTGGCCTGTGCTGAGCTGCGTGTGGCTCAGAAAGATAAACTCATCTGCCCAGAGTCACCCAACTTTGTCTGCCAAAGCTGAGCCTGCCCTGTAGTTGCCAGGCTGATGCTGCCAAGATCCCAAGGGCACAGACAAACCAAGTGCCATGGTTAACAGTGCACTCTGCCAGGAGGTCCCTTCCTGTTGCCCCTCTACCCCTTCAGACTATCCTGGGAATTCATCTTTCTCTGGATAGGCCTTCATGTCTCTGAGCTTTGAGGAAAACTTTCCTGAGGACCTCTCTCCCCACAGTGTCTCCTACCACAGTTGTCCCCATGGAAGGAGCTGGGGAAAATAAAGGGATGTTGGCCAAGGGGAAAGGTCAATATAAATACATGCACACGCACACACACATAGGCACACTGTGATGTGCTCAGAGCTGAGGGATGGTGGGGGGCATGGTGCAGAGAGGGTAAAATGCTTCTTGGGAGGAGGTGGAGCACTGAGAGACACTTTTAAGAACACAGCCTTGGCCTAACATAGACTGGGACTGAAATCCATCTCTGATGAAAAAAAGAGAGGCCATTTCTGTCAACAAGAAAAGTCTTGTCTGGCTTATTGGTGCTAGGGGTTAGGAGAATCCCCAGAGCAGGGTTATCCCTCTGGAAAGCTTTGCTGGATGCCATCACCTTGTCAGCCACACCATTGGGATATTTTGGGGACAGTAAATTCACTGACAAGTTGACTGTATGAGTGGAGCAGCCCTGGAGGGCTGCCTGAAGGAATGGTAGTAGCCTCAAGTTTCCTCAGCTTTCAGAGACTACCTGCTGTACTCTGGGCTCTGCTTGCTTCAGTTAGGTCCTGAGTCATAGAAACAGCTCTTTCCACTGAGCAGATAGCTTTGGCTTCCTTCTGCCCTCAGCCTGCTCCTTTCCTGGCTCATAGTTGAATATCAGCTTCTATGTACTTGGCTTTCCCCCAAAAGCTAGGCCCAGCCACTTTCTACTCACCCTCTGGTCTGTAGTCTGATCCAAATGAACCCCCCAGGGACCTCCTGTAGCTGGAGTCACAGACACGGATCCCTACCCTGCTGCCTCAAACTGACCATTAAGGTACCCTCTAGTTGGCTAGCTGTGCTGCCCCAGTGAACCAAAGAGGGGTGGGGAGCCTTTTAAATTTCTGGTGAAGTGCAAGCATGCTTTAGATTAAATAAAACTGGTTTAACAGGTTGGTGTGAAAAGGGCTGCCTTGGCCTGCCCAGTCCCCAGAGTCAGATGCACAGCCCTCAGATCTTCCTGCCTTCTTGGTAATATTTTATTTTAGGCCCAAGACTCCTGGTCCTTCACTTTACCATGGACAGACATGCAGAATAGAAGGTTTCCATCTGAGTGAAGCCAGCAGCTATGGCTCCAGCCCCATTCACACACATGTTTAACCTTGGTCTGGCAAGATCTGCTCAGCCAGTTAGTCAAATGCTGGGCCTAACAATTGCAGGGGTCCCAGTGACCAAGGGAATGTTGGAACACTCAATGATTTGGGTGACACATTCTGGCAAGACACTGGCTAGTTAAACCTACTAACGAGAAATACCTTGGTGGTTTAGTATCTGTCCCCAAAACATTCCCAAAGGACTTGTGAGTCCAGAGAGGGACAACCATAGGCTGACTCTCCAAAGCATCTCCTTGTGGCCTGGCAGAATCTTCCAGGGTCCAGGCCCAGCATCCCCTCTGGAAAAAGCCTCACTGAGCATCTGCATAACCTCCAAATCTTGGGGGGATCTGAGGCTTTAGCAAGCCAGCTTTCAGAGACAGGGCAGAAGAGTAGTTACATGAATAAGGTCTAGAGTCAAAGTTTGAACTCAGATTCTGCCTCTCATGAGCTCTATGACCCTAAACTAGCTATCACCTCTCCTTAAGCCATACCTCTTCAGCTGTAAATGGGGGCAATCTCTGTCAGTGTGAGGGGCTGAAGGGAGAACTAGTGGGGCAAGAACCCCAGCCAAATTTGCTATTCTTGCCTCCTCTAGTTTCCTATGGCACCCCACCCTTCTGAGTTCCATACCTTTGAACCTTCTTTTTGGCCTCTTGCCTTGAGGCCCTCCTGGAGCCATCCCTATCCAGCATCCTTTAGAAATGAACATCAGAGTCCAGCACTCCCCAGCTAGACTCTGAAAAGATGCTCCACTAGTTAGAACAAAATCTCAGCCGTCTTTGCCCTTCCCCACTCCGTTCAGGATCCGAGGTTTGTTTCTGCCTTGGAGCGATTGCATACTGGTGGTTCCTCAAGCTTGGGCTGTTCTCTCTGAGTGACCTTAGCCAGGCCCTGTTCCTCAGAGGTTAGTTTCCTTCTTTGTGGATTGTGGTTAGTATTTGGACCCCACTCCCATAGAATACAAAACCCTTGTTCAGCCATTGTACCTGGCCGGCATCCTGAGCCAGTCCCTTCTGTGGACAGTGAATTTTCTCTTATTATAGCAGCTGTCTATATAGCTGTCTATCCAGGTTGTAGCACCAAGTGTGGAAAAGCCTGCCACTGACCTTATGTGGCCTCTACTCACCCACTAGGTGACTCATATCTATGGGTGGGGTCAATAGAGATTACCTCATACATTTGGGGAGACACAAAGAAGCTGAGATCAAAGTTAAAGAAAATACCCTGCCAGGGCCACGGTGTCTTGGAAGAGGGACACCCTTGGCCCCTATAGCTAGCCAAAGGGTCTAAGTACCAGCAGCAATAGGGGAGGTGTCAGGCTGGATAGATGGTCTTAGGAGTGTCTCCCAGTAAAGACACCCTTCCTCTTCTTCCTCTTGTCCACACTCACCTAATGTCATCCCTGCATTTTTTTTAAAAAAGACTTAATTTAAAAAATATATCTGTGTATTTGTGTATGTGTGGGTGCTTGTAGAGACCAGAAGAGGGCATTGGATCCCCTGGAGCTGGAGTTACAGGTTGTCATGAGCCTCCTGACATGGGTGCTAGGAACCAAATTTTGGTCCTCTGAAAGAGCAGCAAGTACTCTTAATGCTAAGTCATCTCTCCAGCAGCACCTGCCACCCTCACACCCCCATACCATTCCTATTGTTCTTTGCAATAACCATCTCCTTGTACCCAGGCCTGGGCCTCCATAATTCTGTTTATCCTTTTCCAGACTCCTCCTTATCAATATGTCACTCATCATTTCCTCCCAGTCTCAATCCACCATTATTTGTACCTTCCAATCTGCAACTTTTAATGGTTTCAGGACTAAGAAAACATTCTGAATTGTTTCCAGAGCAAGGTTTAGAAGGCTGTGAGTACAGTTTAGAGTTTTCCTGGGAGGCCTTCAAAAAAGGTGAAGAAATTTCAGGCAGTAGCAGGATCCCAGCAGCCTAAAAGTTTCCAAGGAACCATAAACCCTTGAGGATATTTTCATTTTAATTGCATTTCTGGTGTACAAGATCTTAACTAAGAGAGGGTCCTTTGACCTCAGCCAGCCTGGGCCAGAACTCTGGCCATCCTCACCCCAGGCCAGACCCTACCAGCTTATTCACTGGTCACTATCCCCAACACTACCAGCAAGGAGGCTCCTCCTAGGCCTCAGGTCAGGAATACAGGCTTACTGGTCCATTTCAGTGCCTCTGCATTCACTGTATTTTCCCCTTGCAAGCATTGGCCTGAATTTTGTTGGCTCCTTCTTTTCAAATCACTGCCGCTGGGAGTGGGCCACAGCACCTTCCTGTATGCTACTCTCCACTTGCATTCTGAATGAGCACTTCCTGTTTATATACCTCATAAGCCTGGAGCTCCCCTACCCCCCTCTTCCCACACACACACACACAGCAGTGCAATGAATAGTATCTCTGAAGACATGCTAATGGGCCTTCATCTCCTGTCCAGGGGAATAAGGGGGAGGGTACCCAGAAAGGCAGCTCCCTATTCCCTGTATCCCTTCGTCAGGACAGCGAATGCTGTTACGTAAGGTCCTGGAAAGCCTCAGCTTGTCCAGATGAGAGTGGGATCATGATAGTAAGGAGACAAATTATACAGAATTCAAGAGGCCTCACCGAAGGCTTCATAAATGGCATAATTTTATTATCATTACAGAAAAATCAGTGGAAGAAAAAGACTACCAAACTGGTTTTTGTGTTATAATAATTATTTTATAAAGTCTTATCAGATATGTATTTCTCCCTCTCTCACATGCAGGCACCCTCCTGCACAGGAAGCAGATGCCCTTGAGCCAGCATCCCCTTCCTGACCCAGCATATGCCCCTCTGCAGGGCCTGCACCACAAAGAGGCCAGCTCTGTGAAGCCATGCACTGCTCTGTGAGGAGCTGAGAGTGGGTTCCACAGCTCTGGCTCCCTTTTCTTGTCTGGTCACCCATCCTCCCAAAACAGGGCTGGGAAGAGAAGAGAATAGGCACATTCATAGGCAGGTGGTCAGGGCCAGGATATTCAGGACTACTTTGGGTCCAACAACACGTCTCAGGATGGGGTTCTCTACAAGGAAGAACCAGAGCTGGGGTCTTTGGACCTCCCAGGGCCCAGGGTAGGAAGATGGAATGGCTCATGCCTGTGACACCGCCCACCCCCCCACCAAGGAGAATAAATAAATACTATATAACTGTGTAGTCCCACAGCCTGGCCTGCTCCCCGAAAAGGGGGCTTGATGTCATTAACCCCAGTTCCTCTGACTGTCATTCTCCCAGAAACAGGCTGGCTGCTCTATAAATGGATAGGGGGCCTGCCCTACCCAGCAGATTGAGAAACTGGGACTGGGAGAGTATACACAGTTCAGGTGATTAGGGCAGGCAAGTGAGTGAGTGGAGGCCTGGGCCTAGCCCCCAGGGTGAGACAAGGTCCTGCTTGTCTCTTCTGGCACATAGCTCATCACAAGGAGCCACACAAGACTTGGGGGCACTGACCTCAGAGTTATGTGACAACCCCCCCCATCCACCTGTCTTGCTCTTGCTGGTAATTTCTGGTCCAACTGTCACATGCAGGCAGGCACCAGGATGACTGAAGGAGGGACAGCAGATGCCCAAGTCCAGCTGGGGCCTGTGTCCCCTCCAGAATGTAGCTGTATGAGGCTGGGTAGTGTGCCCGGCCCAGTCAGAGCTGGAAAGGGTACTGTCGAAGGTAGTTGGCCATGCGCCGGGGCAGTGGTAGGCAGTCCACATCAGCTACCAATCTGTTGATGACGAGGCGGCACAGGTGCTGTAAGCTGCGGGCACTGCTCCTGCATACAAAGGGCTGCACCAATTTCAGGTGCACAGCAGTAGCCATGGGGACAGGCAGCGCTGGGTCTCCAGGTGCATCTTGCTTAGGCATAGGTAGGGCTGGGGTGGGAACAGGATCTGGGCTGTCACTCCTGGTGTCAGCAGCACAGGAGGCCACATAGTGCTGCACAAGGCTGACCACATCTGGGAAGGCGAGGATTCGAGGTCTGGACAAGCAGTTGGAGTCTAGTCGGAAGCTGGAGTCAGCGTACTCGATGCGTACATTGGTGGGGCCACGGGTGGTTTTGACTGACAGCGTGAACAGGTAGCTGGGATGGGTGCTATCTCGTACTAGGAATGTGCCTTCTGGCATCTTCTGTAAGTGTTGCCGAGCCTCACTGGCAGTAATGGAACCCCAGTACCACCCTAGACAAGTAGAGAGGAAGGCAAGGGACTGGTCAGAGTGGAAATTAGCTAAGGGCACTAACCCAGGGCAGGTCAGGACAGAACCTCCCTTCATATTTCCCCGGAAAAGGATGTATCTCTTCCCATCAGACTTAGGGGTCAGGACTATGCCTCCTAAACCAGACTCAAAAGCTAAAGGTCTTAGTTCCTCCTCAGACTTCCTAGGACAAGGCCTGCCTCTCCCTAACACTCACCAGACTCTCGGAGGTAGGAGAAAGTCTTGGCTATGCATAGCAGATCTTCCTCAGGGTCCAGCACCTTTGGTTCACTCTGGATCTCCTCTGCCACCTCCTCTGGGAAGGCCCCTGCGGGCAAGGGCTGCATGACTGGCCCAGGCAGCTTTAGGGACTGGGCCCACTGAGGCCGCTGCCTGATCTGCTCCACAGCCAGCAAAGGACAAGATCTAGAGAGGATAGATGGACAGTGAGTGGAGATCCCACATGTTCCTCATTTCTAGAAAAGTCTCTTGATGGCTTCTCCCATATATACAGATCTTTTTTTTTTTTTTTGGAATTGAACTCAGAGGCTTATTATACATGCTAGGCCAGTGCTCTACCACTGAACTGTACTCTTAGTCCCACAGAACCTAGTCTCAAAGAATTTTTTTCTACTCTCATGAATTTATTAAATTGTAATTAACTCCCCCCCGCCCCGGATTTGCTATGAGCATGTCCAGTCTTCCTACTACAGGGATGGGCATCTGTCAGTGCAAAGCAGTCTCAAAGCTGTGCCCTCCTGGTTTAGGTAAGTAGGCTGGTTAAATGGCACTGTATCTGGTGGAGCACAGGGTGAACTAGGGTAGTATCCTCAGGGAGACCTCAAGATTACATTAAGAACTAGGTGTGGTGATGCATGCCTTTAGTCCTAGCACTAGGGAGGCAGAGATAGGTGGATCTCTGCCAGTTTGAGGCCATCCTGGTCTACATAGTGAGTTCTAGGTCAGCTGGGGCTACAGGGAGACCCCATTTCAAAACAAAACAAAAACAAAAAAAAACCCCACAAGAAACACAAAACAAAACCAACCAAAAATATTACAGTAGGAACTCTGAAGTGACATGTTACCTTCCCACTAACAGGAGTAAGATGCTGGGGAGACCTTGGTCCATATTAGCTAGGACTTCAAGACTTAAAAATCCTCTACTCAGCCAGGTGTGGTGGCGCATACCTGTAGTCCCAGCACTTGGGAGGTAGAGGCAGGTGGATCTCTGTGAGTTCAAGGCCAGCCTGGTCTACATAGTGAGTTCCAGGCCAACTGGGGCTGCAGGGGACCCTGTCTCAAAAAGACCAAAAAAAAAAAAAAAAAAAAAAATCCTCTACTCATACAGGTCAGATTCCCATCCTGGCCTTTGCTGCTTCCAGCTGAGGGGTGACAGTGGCCTCTAAAGGCACTGGTGAATCTCCCCTCTCATAAATATGAACTCCTATCAAAGGGCAGGGTACTCAACCTACATTCCAGAGTCTACCCTGGCAAGTCAGCCCTGCTATGCTAATGATCTTATATATAGTTTGTTCCTCTCTGGGCTGCAGTTTCCCTTTCCTCCAGATGAGGAGCCTACATGCTTAGATTCTGAGGGGTTTGGCAACATTAGAGCACTGAGCTGGCCAAAATCCTACTAGGGGAAGCCCATCCAGCTGGCGATCCAGCTGTAGGGATTGGCTCTGCTTCTCAAGGAAGTAGTTGGATTGCTCTCATTCCTAACAAAACATCCCCAGGGTGCAGTTCTGTGTCTAATCCCCTGTTGGAACTTAGGACCCCAAGATAATGAAACTATAGGCCTGCCCATACTGACTGGAGAAGGTAGCATTGTATTAGGCAGTGCTTGTAAGCAACAAGAGGTGTCAGTCAGCAGGAAGGGAAGCCAGACTTGAGAGTGTCAGTGATGTTTAGAAGGTCATGATCCTATGACTACTCATGAGAAGAGGCCACAGGACTCTGGGACACTACAGCTTGCCAAGGACTTTTCTACATCTACCCTGACTTGCTGTGGGAACTCTGGAATCCCATTTAGTGAGCTGGAAGCAGAATTTCAAGTGACTTGCTTGCTGGGGCCCATAACCGGGTCTAGGCACCTCTTGGGAACTTGTGGGCAGGCAGTGAGTCAGTTCGCAGCCTCTATGGTAACCATAACCAGACAGCTTAGTAGGACCTCTGCATAAGTTCCACATGTGTATGTGTACACCTCTGGGACTGATTTGGTGTCTGGGTGTGGAACAGCTATACTGATCCCCACAGGAGAGATTGAGTATATAAGCCGGGGTGTGTCTACCACTGTCATCATGCTGGGATTGAAGGCTGGGGTGTTCCAGGTTCCTGTATGTGTGTGCCTTGAAGCCATTAAATCCTGCCTGGGGATACATGCCAGTGAGGGGAACCAAGCCCCTGGGAGGGTGGAATACACGGGCTTCTGTTAAAGACATTGTTCTAATACCCAACACTGGCCCTGAGCTTCCAAGGGGTCTTCAGTTAAGGCAAAGTGGAAATGGCTGTGAGGACCCAGAATGGAGGGTAGAGGGAGAGGGAGGAGGGAGGAGGAAGGCAATGTGTGTGGGTATGCTCAGGAGTCCCACAATTGAGAGGAAGGAACATGCTAGGGACTATCAGGGAGTAGTCTTCTCAGTACCTCTATGTCCTCCTCCCTAGACCCAGGACTGCTCAAAGCAAGGGCATTTCAGCCTGGTCCCACCTTCCACTCTCCCTCACTTAGCATCATACCCATGTCAGTTCTGATAACAGCAGCTACCAGGCCACCTGACTCTCCCTGGATTTGGAATACCCACTTATATCTCCTTTCTTGTTGGAGCTTCCTGAACTCCTGTCTGATCAGTGGCTGAAGGGAACACTGAGGCCCAGAGTGAACAGGTGTACCAAGATCACTCTGCTAAGGCCAAGTCTTTGTCTTATCAAGCCCTACTCTCACCACTGTCCCATATTTCATGCCTTAAGGAAACTTGGAGAAGGGAGGCAGGGGCTAAAGTCCTTATCACATTGAGACCTCAAAGTGGGATAAGGGAGTGGAGGTGTCTCCAAGAGCTGCTGGTTATCAGGTGTCAACCTGGAAAGAGTCAACGACCTCAGACTGGCTTCCCAAGAAGAACCTAATCGCTGGTTTAGAGAGGGTCTAGGGGCTGGCTCAAGGTCACGGATAGGTAGGGCAGGTGGAAGGTTAGGTTAGCTCTGGGTCCAAAAGGAGGTCTGGCCTGGTGAAGCCACATCTTGGGGAACTTCTTACTATTGGCGTCAGTGAGAACCCACGGGGAGCCCACCCTGTGTTCCACCGCCCGCCAGCCCCATTTCACTATCCATTGTGTGTGTGTGTGTATTCTAGTTGCACCCCTCCACGATCTTTGGCATTCCATCACCTCCAGTCCGTCAAACCCTCCCAAAGTCCTCAGCTAGAGGCTTGTGCCCTCCTTTCCTTCCCGTGTGGATCTTGGGCGGGGACGGAGAGCTGCACTCACCCCTGTACGCAAAGGACCATGTCCCAGAGGCAACAGCGGCTCGAGAGTCGGGGTTCAGCGGGACGGAAGCAGAAGTGAGCCAGGGAGTGCTGGGAGCGCGGAGGTCAGGGTCCCGGTCGCACCTGCGGCTGG